GAGGTCCATTTTCAAAAGCAAAGGATCAAGCAGATATACTTCATTCTCACTCTCCACTCGCTGCCTTTCCTAGGGAAGGACATCCTTATAGAGGAACTTTCACAGACCCTGGGTCAGAAAGACACTCCACTGGTGGCAGAGGCTGTCCACAGGGTCACCTCCTTCTCCTGGGCCCTGTCCCAGGGGTGAAAGGCTGAGCACTGGTGAAGGGCCCCTGTGGACCTGCAGAGAAGCCCCATTCTCTCATCTAGGGGTATATACAGTTTGTCACCAGGGCCTAAAAAGGAGGCCAGCTCCTGCCCACCCTGTTCTGGGACCATCCAGGCTTCCATCCCAGGGAGGCCAGCTTCACTTCAACTCACGTCTGGGATCTCCCCCACCCTCAGGCTCCACAGGCCTCAGGGCAGGACAGTCACATCTACAGAACAATAACTGCAGGGTCATCTATAGATGATGACACTGAGGCTCAGAGAGAAACTATTACTTGCCCAAGGTCACAGAGCTCCTTAGTGGCAAAGCGGCTGCACCTCTCATAACGGACACTTTCCTGTATAGCACCTGCATCCTGCTAACAGTCAGAGGACAAGCTCCCCAGGGATAGGGCCTGCATTTTCTGTGCCCCTAGCACTAGGCTGGGCCTAGTAGGTGCTCTCAAGTGTCTGCTGAGTTTAATCACTAGTCCTAGGGTCCTAAAGACCTATGTCCCCGCCCACTGGCTGAATTCTGGGGACTCTGACTTCCTGAAAACACAGCTTTCAGCTTTCTACCTCAAGACAGCCTGCCTAGGGGAAACCCTCGCTTCTCGGACTGCCCCTCCATCTGCCTCTCTGCCCCAGGCCTGAGGAAGATACAGCTTCAAAGAGCTGCCTCCAAACCACAGGATGGCCTCCGGGTCTCTTCTCAAACTGCCCTTCCCACCTATGCCAGGCAGAGGGCTTGGCAGAAACCTTCAGTCCCCTGGCTGCTTTGGGAGAAGGGGTGAGCTGCGGGGTGCTCCCACCCACACTCCCAGCCTTTGTTTAGGTCACGGACCCAGGCTGGAAGGCCTTCCCTTCCTCCCTCAACTTCCAGGGAGGACCAAGCCAGAAACTCCTGTCTTAGCAGATCAGGGGAAAAGGTCTATGGCAGTAGCTCTTTTTTTTTTTAAATATCTTTATTGCAGTATAATTGCTTTACAATGTTGCATTAGTTTCTGCTGTATAACAAAGTGAATCAGCTATATGTCCACATATATCCCCATATCCTCTCCCTCTTGAGCCTCCCTCCCACCCTCCCTAACCCACCCCTCTAGGTGGTCACAAAGCATGGAACTGATCTCCCTGTGCTATGCGGCTGCTTCCCACTAGCCATCCATTTTACATTTGGTAGTGTATATATGTCACGGCTACTCTCTCACTTCGTCCCAGCTTCCCCTTCCCCCGCTGTGTCAAGTCCGTTCCCTACGTCTGCGTCTTTATTCCTACCCTATGGCAGTAGTTCTTAAGCCTGGCTTCCAGCAGGAGGGCTGTTAAAAAGTACAGGTACCTGGGGCCCTACTCCAGAACATTTAAGTCAGAATTCTTGGGAATGATAAGGGTTGGGGGTCTGATATTGGTATTCAAAAAAATAATCTCTGGTCTGTGATCTCTATAAGGCTCTCACAGATATGACCCACTAAGTTATGTTCATGCTATTTGGTGAGACAGGCCAGGCCAGAAACCCAAGGCCTCAGCACGGTTTATGTACTAATATCACCTCCCCAACCAGGCTAATCCCTTCCTCTCCTTCAGGACTAGCCTGGCCGACTTAAGCCCCAAGGGACAGATCTCAGCTCTGTTGGGATCCCGCTGGCAGGCAGAGCAGAGGAAGGCAGCAGCCTGTGTGCTTGGGGTCAGCCCCACCTTTCCCCTCCACTGCCAAACGGGATCCTGGGGCCAACTTCAGACCTAGTGTACTCCCACCAAAAATCCTAACCCAGCCTCCCAGGAATCCCAGGGCCTGTTCTTTCAGCCCCCAGTACTGAGGCCTGCAGTCCCCTTTTACTCAGGATGAGGGAGGCCACCCACTGGTTAAGGGCCAGAAGGGAAGCTGGGCCTCAAGGCTTCGGCCCTGTCCAGGGTCCTGACTCCTGGTCAGATCACTTGGTTCCAGCCTGGGGCACCTCCCTCTGGTGTATAGCGCGCTCCTTGATCTGCACCCTCAGAGTGCACAGGTCATTCCAGGGGCAGCCCTGCCAGCGTCGCCTAAACCCAACCCCAGCTCTTTCCATAGCTGGTGGCTTCTCTACGTGCCAGTGCTGCTGCTATGCCAAATACTCCTAATCCTCAAGTCGCCACCCATCAATGTCCACCTTCACAGATGAGGAGACAAAGTAAACCATGGGTCCCGTGGCTCTGCAGCCACCAGGAAGGGACTCCTGCACCACACACATCAACGTGCAAGCACTGAGGCCGGGAGCTTGGGCCAGACTGGGAGCAGACCGTGTGAGCAGCCTGAAAACGACCCCACCGGCTTCTTACTCTGGGGACTGAGCAGAAGGGACTCCAGATGCCCTTTCACCAGGTGTCCATAGCCCTCAGCCCCCAGCTCCAGCAGATTATAAAGGCCTTTCTCTCCAGCCCATGCACAGAAAGAGAAGACACAGCCCAGTGAAGAGATTTACTGCAAACGTTATCTGCCGCCAAATCCTCGCTTTCATCTCCGCCTTCTCATGAGCCAAATAATTTGGAAGCTTTCATTGATGGTTTCCTCTCTGCCCCACGATAACTTGGAATTTATGCCGGCTATGGCTCAGCCTCCTCACTTAGGGGACGAGGGAAACCTCGCAGGCTGCTCTCCAGCCTGCTGTGGGAGGAAAAGCCTGTCCTTGGCGACAGTTCAAGGCAGGGAAGACTTCCTCAGCTCTCCTGGAGCCTAAGGCTTGAGGGCGGGTGTCTCCAGTCAGGCCTCAGAGCCCCCTGCAGAGGCTCCTGGGTTTGAACCCAGGGACGTGCATGGCCAGTCCCCAGCAGGGCTGGGGATCAACACCCTTGCAATGGTTTGACTCTATTTTTAGGTGGGGAAAGGTTCAAAGGCCCTGCGCTGGAAAACCCAAGAGGCAGGGGAATTTTCAGCCCCATGCAAATTACCCTTTCCCCTCAGTCTTTGCTTGACACCTGTTTCCCCCCAGCCTGCCTGCCTGCCTATCCCCGGTGTAGATGGCAGCACTGCCCCAGGGATCTCCGCCCTGAGAGGAGGCCCTGCCTCCCACTGGGGCTTGAAGGGGGAGTCAGGGGAAGGGATTAAGCCAGCCCCAGGGCCTCCCCAGAACTTCCCCTCTTTTCTCCAATCTGAATAGCCCCTGAAAGCAGGGGGCAGGTGGGATTCTGAGAGGCAGGTTCCTCAGCTCCAAAACAGGCAGAACAATTCCTGCCTTCCAGGACCAGGAAGGCACAAAAGATGGCTATTGTTTTACTAATCCAACCCTAGTAGTAATTGGGAGCCCCTGCAGCTCTCAAGATGGGGGTGGGGTTAGAGGGGTGGAGGGGTGGTCCCAGGGACTCCCAGGGCCCTAGCACACTCTGCATCCTACTTCCCAGTGCACACGAGCACGTGCCTTCCACCCACTGAGCAGGGCTAGACCAGGAGGTGCCAAGAGCCTCAAGAACAGCATCCTCCCATGCCCACCTCACCCCTTGCTTTCATTCCAGTCCTGGAGATTGCATTCCTGGAGATATTTCCTTCCATCTCCACCCTTCCCCTAATAGGGCCAAGGGAGGATACTAGGTTGGGGGATGGGAATGGGAGGTTTCAGGTCTCAAAGGTGTCCCCACCCCCAACCCCACAAAAGGAGAGTCCCAGGGTAGGCCAGCTCCCGGAGAAGGCGGGGAGTCCTTTTTCAAATGCAAGGTTTTTCCGGAAGACCCCCTCTAGGGACTGGCTAATGATAGCAGCTCCAGGATGGCCCCTGCAGTGAGGGAGGGGAGAGGAGGTTGCCAGGCTCAGAACAAAGATATCCTCCCTCAACCCGGGCCAAGTGCTCTGCCCCAGAACTCTAAGCCTTCCCACCCTTGGCGCGGTTGGCCCCAAGAACCTCACATCTTGGCTGTATAACCTTAGGATCCTCAATTTCCTTATTATAACAGGAGGGTTAAAAAAGTAGTGTCTAGCCCAGTGCCTGGCTACTCTGTGCGCTGCAGAACAATCTCTTTCTTAAGGGTCAGATTCAAAAGCAACCCCCTTCTTGGATACTCAATGCTCTGGCAGCCTCATTTGTGCCAAGGGTCTCTTCTGTGCCCAGTGCAACGCATTAAAGGCCTAAGAGGGAGCGATGAGGCTCTAGGATGCAATTTTTCAGGGGCTGCAGAGGCAGGATCGCATGTCCATTTGTCTACCCACCCCCAAAGCCCTTCTCCACAGCTCCAGAGGCCATAAGTACCACTACCTGTCCCAAGAAACAGCGTCAAAGTAAGGAAGGCTTAAAGGGCAGATGCATGTGAAATGGGCATAATAAGGAGTGGATGACCTAACTGGATGACTTTGAGGACTCCACCTTTCATCCCGACATCAGCAAATCCTGTCACTCTTGTCTCAACCTCCAGAATGTCCCAGATCCTACTGTTTCTTACTCTACTGCCATCACTCAGCTCTAAGCCACCATCATTTCTCTCCTGGACAACTGCCAAAGAATCCTCCCCGCTCCCACCCTTGCCCCTCATATTCCCTTCTCCTCACAGCAGCCAGTGGGACCCTTCATTAAAACAGCAGACTATATTATTACCCTGCTTATGATCCTTGAAAGGCTTCTCCTCTCACTCAGATCAATAGGAACATCTTTACAACAACCTACAAGGTTATGAGAACTGGCTCCCCCACCCCTTCCTCCCATCCACTCTACTCAACCATACTGGTCTTGTTCTGCAATGACTGCACCCTCTGCCAGGAATCCTCTCCCCCCCATATACCTGCACTTCCCCCATACATCCCTCCCTCTCCTTTCCACCTCTGTTTCATCTTTCTCCAGGATACTTGTCACTACCCACCTCTGAGGGTTTCTTTTCGTTCTGCCGGGGCCAGCCTGATTTGGTGCTGCTGGGCAGTTTGGAGCATCTTGATGCAGATGTAGCGTGACCTGCAGAGAGAGCACAGCCCATGAGGGGCCCCTGGAAGGCCAGGAACACCACCCACCCATGTCCAAGGACAGGAGGTCTGTCAGGAAAGCTCTGGCTTGAATGTTCAGGAGGCGGAGACCTCTGTAAGCACCTGGTGGACTGTCCCTGCTCTGGGCCTTTCCAACAATGAATGGGACATGATGCCTCCTCTAACCACCAACCAGAAGACGCCTGGGAGGTGAAAGGCAGTTGGACAAGGACTCAGTATTAGCTTCCTGTGTGTGATCCATGACAAATCCCTCGCCCTCTCTGGTCCTCTGCTTCCCCCTTGGTGAAAGAGGGCTATAATAAGCCTTCTGTGGCCAGTCTCCACCCCCACTGCTGATTAGACACTCTGGGATGATGCCCAGTGGGTATGCAGAGGCGAGACAAGGTAGTGGGAAGACTGCTGCTCTAAAGTAGACCCACAGACTAACCTTGAGCCCTGGCTCAGCCACTTACTAGCGCCTCATCCTGGACGAATGACTTAGTCTCTCTGAGCCTCAGCTTGCTTTTCTATAAAATGGGGGCAGAGAATAACTATCTTCAAAGAGTTGTTGTGAGAGTTAAATGATATCATGCCTGTAAAGTCTTGGCACGGTCCCTGGCACACAGCGCTGCCTTGATAAAGATTACCTATTATATCACTAGGGTCTAGAGGCCCTCGCTGGACTACACTCAGGTTGGCCCCCACTCCTATGGGTCAAAGGAGCAGCAGCTACGGATGGGTAGTGGTGGGGACTGGTGAAAAGGGAGGATGCCTCAGCCTGGCCCAACTCCAATGCAGAAACAGGGCTCAGCTGCCCAGATGCTCTCCCTTGCGGGCGCCTGGCCCTCAAGGGTTCCTTTGCCTGAAATAAAGTTAGAAGCAGAGGATGCAGTTCTTCTTGGCTCTACTGAAACAGGCCACAGGCAGCGTGACTGCAGCCACAAAGGGCCGGACGCTGTGATCTACTGCTGCAGGGAGGAACAGCGGGCCAGGTCAGACACCAGAGCCAAGCTGAGTAAACAGACCCCAAAGGACACTGAGTGAAACCTGGAGGGAGAGAAGGGGCTGGGACCTGATTTCTCATTCTAGTGCATGTATCCTCAGGCTCCGGGGGATTAGAGAACTCCGTGAGCTCTAAGGGGCCTTGGAGATCTCCCCAATCCCAGTTGCTCACCGTGTACGTGAACAAACTAAGGGCTACAGCTGCAGGGCTCCAGGCCCGGCCTCCCTGGCAGCGCAGGCTCTTCCTCGGCCTGGGCTTTCACCAGAGGACACCGCTAAGTGGGATCTTCCTGGCAGAGTGTCTCTCCTACACAGGGCAGAATGGAACTCTTTACTCCGACTGGCTCATGCAGGCCCAGGTTCCTAGGGCATCTAAGAAGAGCTGCCTTCTAGTACCAGAAAAAAGCCCTCCCTGACACAAACCTCCCTTTTCGCCTCCGTATTTCAGAAGAGGCTCCCTAAGCCCCATTTTCTCTGTAACAGTGCCCCCCCCCCCACATCGAGGGCTGGCACACCGGGCCCCCACACAAGTCTACCCTGAGGTTCTGTTGCCAAGATCCCATGAAGGTCAGACTCCTTCATTAATATTTTTCAGCAAACATTTACTGATCACCTATTATGTGCCCGATCTAGCTGGATACAGCAGTCAGCAAGACATGACCCCTCTTATCAAGGAGCTTACCTTAATAAGGAAATGGTACTTGGTCAGGAAATGATACTTATCAGGTCACTATAATGAAGAGTGACAGGTTTTTTTATCTGTTGTGTGGACACTTCTACAGGGCCCTGACTCAACGGCAGGACCAGAGGGAGAGGGGTGTGTTCCTAGCAGCCAAGAACAGCATAGGCAAAGGCCCAGAGGGGAGTTGATCTGTTCCAACCAGAGCAAAACACATGGGGCTGAGAGCTAGAGGGTAAAGGGGAGTAGAGTAAAGAGGACAGCAAGGCCCTGGAGGCCATAGTGGTGTGGGGATTTTCTTAGGAGCAGAGGGACCTGGCCTGATTTATGCTTTCATCAACACTGAGACCATGGGGCAGCGTCCCCCGATCTGGGCCTGTGGGCCTGATAATTATGCAAACACTTTCCCTGTAGGAGCCCCAGATGGAAGGCCTTACTGTCGGTGGTGTCAGAGTTGTCGCTGCTGATGGAGTACTTTCGCCTCTTCTCTTCCATCTGCAATGAAAGGCAGGCCCCATTATACTCACAGGCGGCTTGGGAAATCCTCAATCTCTCAGAAAATTGCCCAATAACCTACCTCCCCACACTCACCGCACTGCAGAGAAAGAGTGAGAACAAGGTGGTGCCCTAGGCTTCTCCTCACTAGCCTCACCCTCTCCCCGCCCATCTACATGGGCCCTGGGGCTGGGAGAGGGGGCGGCATCTCCCACCTCCTGAGCCCAGAGCCTCAGACAACGGAGAGTCTGGTCAAAGACGAGGGAGGGCAAGGGGGGTCAGCAGCCCCAGAATGAACAGAGACCAGGACCTGCCCAGTGCCAGCTTCCACGCAAGGAAACCCAGGGCCACCGAAGAATCCACTCTCACCTGCAAGTTACAAGTGGTACCCTGCTGGGTGCTGAGGAGGGAGGGCACAGGAAACAAGACTGACTCTTCCAGGAGGACCAGGTTATCGGAGTTGAGGGACAAGCCAGTCCAGACAGCGCAGCCCCAGAATGAACAGAGACCAGGACCTGCCCAGTGCCAGCTTCCACGCAAGGAAACCCAGGGCCACCGAAGAATCCACTCTCACCTGCAAGTTACAAGTGGTACCCTGCTGGGTGCTGAGGAGGGAGGGCACAGGAAACAAGACTGACTCTTCCAGGAGGACCAGGTTATCGGAGGGGAGGAAAAAGCCAGTCCAGACAGCACTGAGGGCGCATACTGAGAGCGGCAGCCAGAGGGGTGTGGAAATGGGGTGGGGGCAGGGAGGCTGCAAGCTGGGTCCCTGAGCCACACCGGGCCCAGGGTGAATGGGCTGGGCTGCCCTCCCTCCCCTCAATGTCCTTCTCCAGATAAAAGAAAAAACCAACTTTCTCTCCACTGCAATATTTAACTTCGAGGTAGGAAGGGCAGCTCTCCCACACTGAGCTCTTTCCCCTACCCATGCTATCTCAGGTCCTAACAACCTGGGGAGTTGTGAGCTATTAGCTTCTCTTACGGAGGAGGCTCAGTGCCTTGTCCTTCTAGTGACTGGCTGAACTGGGATTTGAATCCACGTGGTCTGATCCCTGAGCGCACACTGAGCTGCCTTTGTGCCCTCGTCAGCTCCTGCCTCTTGGAACTGCTTTCCCACTATTTCCTCTAATCCTGCAGAGTCCTGGGTGGCAGAGCCTGCTCTTGTCCCCTCTTGGAGGGGAGCACACTGAGTGGCTTGTTAACCTGCCCCGGGTCTCACAGCTAGTCAGTGGCCGAGTCCTAACGTGAGAAGAGACCTGGGGCTCAGGGCCCAGAGTGCTTTCCACCGTGCTCCTGTCAGTCTAGACCCTGGGCTGCCTCACTGTCCACAGCAAAGGACAAGGAGCCAGTGTCAGTAGGGAAGAAGCCCCGCTGCCCGTCCCAGCTGCAGGCCAGCCAGGCTCCCCACCCCCACTCGGAATCCCATCTGCCACCTGCTGTCATCCCAAGTCTGCTCATGTCCAAGCCTGGGGGTCACCTGATTTGACTGTGGCCCTGCAGAGACCAGGGAGCATTGGCTCTCTAAGGTGGGGTGTGACTACCCAGAACTCTGAGCTACTCAGAAGTACTCTCCTGCCTCATACTTGACCTTAGCCAGGAGCTTCTCTCCACCCCTGCGTCCTCAGTAGCAGGATCAGGATGACAGGAAGGTTCATTGGGGCTGCTTGCTGCCCAGCTCCAAAGGTGCAGGCAAAGTGCTCTCTAGAGGGTGTGGGGGTATGGAGGGATGCCTGGTGGTAGCATGGATGCCAAGGAGGCAGGAACAAGAGCTAAAACTGCTAAGCACCCACTGCTTGGGGAGGGGGTGCGTCCTGGTACACAGGGACCTCACTGAGGCCTCAGAACAGCCCTTTGGTGCTGGTGGGCCTGATGGCCGCTTCCCTTTTGCAGCTGAGGAAAATGAAGCTCAGAGGTTAAGTGACTTGCCCAAGATCACAGTGCTCGTAAGAGGTCTGACTCAGGAGACCATGTTCTTGACCTTCAGGCTACCCTGCCTCTGTGCAGCGGAGTGCAAGCAGCCCAGTGGCTCAGGTCATACACTGAATGGGGCAATAATGCTCCACCACCCACAGCTGCCCATCCTTGCTATCCTCCGGGGTCTGAGTGTGATGAGGTGACTTTAACCGAACTCTTGACTCTAGCCTACATCTTGCCAACCCAGCCCCGTCACAGGTAGAGCAGGAGCAGGGGGAGAGGTGCTCTAAGTGCACCCACCTGTTTTCTCCTGCAATCCTCTATGTGAATTGCATTTCTCTTCATTTCCAGAAAAGGGGCACTTGCAAGCCAGGCTCTCTCACAGCATATAAAGCAGGAGCACTGGATTCAGGGAGGCCAAGTTCAAATCCTACCTGCGCCCCTCACTAGACCAGGGACCTTGGAAAAGACACACCTCTCAAAGGACACAAACTGGATCTGGAATTTTACATAAATCTCCTGAACTTAAAATGTTGGCAACTGATTCAGATTTTTAAAACACTTTGAGAGGGCCAAACTAAACACATCTGTGGGCCAGAATCAGCTGGTGAGTAAATGAGAGCAGTATAAAGCCCTCAGCACGGTGGCTGGCGCTCCGTATGAGTGCTGATTCTTAATTCCACAGCGGACTCGGGCCAGGTGGACAGTCCTCCTAACCAGCGCCCACCTGAAGGCCTCCTCAGCGAGGCAGTGAGCCTGTACAGTAAGCAAGGTCCCCTACAACAGGACCTCTTGACTTCTCACTGCCTAGGACCAGAGTGCCCCGTCGGCGTGCAGACCTGCACCCCACCCTCAGCCAGCCGCCCGTCCTACCTGCCCTCCGTGAAACACCCCAGAGTCCTCCTTAGCAGGGTGTTATTAAGGGAGCAGATTCTGCGGTGGCTTAACTGGAATAATAACTAGGCTTCAGAGGGAAACCACCGCTTTGCTTCTTTCCTTTGAACCAAGTCTGTTCCAAAGGCCTCCCTGCCTCAGGTGAGCCTCCACTGTCAGTGGCTAATGAAGCCCCAGATGAGGCCTGGGCTCCCCTGCGGCATAGCCTTTTGCCCCATGAAGGCCCTCTCCAACCCAGCGAAGGAGCCAGGGAGGACCCTTTTACCAAAGCTGAAATCCAGGGCTATACATGCAGGTGGGGGACGGGAGTGCCAAGACATGGTCTTGGCCTCTGGTTTTCCTTTTCCACTGCCTCCCCCAACCTCTCCCAAAGCAAGCTCTGCTCTGGGAAAATACCTCAGGGTCACAAGGCACTTGCTTTTAGGGGCAGGAAGTGCTCCTGAAACCTTACCTACAAAGAAGATTCTGGGAAAGAAAGCGTCCCCTTTTCCTGCCATTGCCACCAGTGCACTTGCACTCCCACACCATCCCCAGCACGGAGACACACACGGCTCTCCTTCGGGTCCCCTCTTTGAGTCCCCTCAATGAGCAGCAGCCCACAGCCTCCTCCGCCCCACCGCCAACGCTTGCAAGTCCAGTGGGCGCTCCCTCCAGGACACAGTGAGAATCCACCCACATTTCCCCTATCTCTACTGCTACCATACTGGTCCAAGCCAGTCTCATCTCTTGCAGGACTCCTCATTCATCTTCCAGCTTCCGCTATGGCTCCCTCATAATCCAAGATCCACACAGCAGCCAGAATAATCTTCAAAAAGCATAAATCAGATCATGTCATGCCCTATTTAAAATCTTTCAAAGGTTTCCTGCTGCTCAAAGGGCAAAACTCAAGCTCCTGACCATAAGACCCTACGTGATCTTACCCCTGCCTACCACATACTGACCACCGCCCCCATCCCCACCACTTCCCAGCCAAACTGGCCTCCTTTCATTTCCCGAAACAAACCAAACAGTCCATGAGTCAAGACCTGTGCGCAGGTGTGCTCTCTGCCTGGAATGGTCTACGCAGCCTAGGCACGTCTGACTTTTCATCCTTCAAGTTTCGGCTTAAACGCCACAGAGGTCTATGCCAGCTGCCTTATCTACAGAAAGCCCACCAGCCAACCAGTCAGCTTCCTCAGAGCGCCCGTCACAATCTGTGTCTGTTGAGCTGCTTGTTGAATGTCCTTCTCCTTGGGAATATACGTTCCACGAGAGTAAAAAGCGCAACTGTTTGGATCCCTGCTGGCGCCCCAGCACATAACAGGGACTTGGTACACGTGGAGTGCCGGGTGTGTTCTTGTCTCCTCCCTCTAGAAGTGTGGGACCACACAGCCCAGCTGGCCTGCTCGCAGCTTGCGGGAGCAAAGACCCCAGCCCAAGATTTCGTCCCGTTTGCATAGCCCGCCTTCCCTGTCTTAACCTCACACATTTTCCAGGAGGCTTTGTTTGGTTGGGCTCCTGGCTAATGATCAATGTCAACTCAGTAACAGGGCAGCAGTTTGGTGGCAGATGTTTTCTTGGCAACACTAGCCATTGGTCTTAGTAGGGGCCTCGGGTCTGGACTTGAAACACCAATGCCCAATGCCAGCCCCCTTTTAAAGACCTCTCCACAAATAAACTCAAATAAACACCCTGGGCCTCCATTAACGCCCTTCCAGCTGACCCTGGAAACAGTGGGCCTTTCAGGCCTGCTACTGCAGCAGCTCCCTAGGCAGTTAAAACACCCCAACCTGGCCTCTGGCCTCTCCTCTCTGGGGGCCACCAGGCCTCCCCAGCCTGCCACCATACGCAGCAGGATTTCGTCTTCCTCCTTAAAAAAAGGGGGGTGGGGAGGCTTTCAAGCAGGCAATTTACCATTCCAGACACAATCTTTCAAAGAGAAACAAAAACTCTCCCTGTCTGAGGCAGACCACTAAGGCGTGTATGTAATAAGATGCTAATACAATTTAATCATATTTCGGCTGGAAAACCTGTCCTCAGAGCCTGCTTGTGTCGGGAAGGCCAGACTTTCAGAAAACAAGAGCTGCACACTCTTAAACCATTTTAAACGGGGGTCAGAGCACCACTCT